TCAGTGGTCTAACGGTAAAATACCCCGCTTTACTTCCAGTGGTCCCGGGTTTGATTCCTCGCATGATGCAAACATTTGTATTTATGGGTTTGATGGTTTGTCGGTCTGGGTTGTTTCTATGTAAATATATTAATATGTATATTGTGTGCTTTTACGCAGGTCTAAATCGTATGTTCCCAAATAATACAAAGTACTTAAATTGTTTCACTTCACTTCATAACAATGTGACAAATTACTTCAATTAATAAAATTATGTCATTCGAAACGTAACATTTTTTCTTTGTCTGATCTTTACTGTTTTTCTCTATGCTCAATAGAACTATCATCATTTCGCTACGGCGTGCCATTATGTTTTATTGTTGCGTTTTCAATCTATGCGAGAGTTCTTTCATACTATCCTCTACCTCAATTAACTTTCACTTTCTATAGAGTAATCTTTTTTGGTAATAAATCTATCCCAAGATTATCAGTATAAACCATTTGCTGACGTTTGTGTATCATTCGATTATGTTTTGCATTTAGTTCTGCAACAGTTATTCTTAAAACAACAATCAGTGAAAGATATACAACAGATGCTATTTCCGATTCAACAGCAAAACGCCTTGAATGTAATTACCGGATATAAAGTTTACTTCTACAGCAATTAAAGTTTTCGTAGTGTTATTCTTAAACCAAACCCGCAATGATTTACTACTACTATAAATGTTAATACATTTAAACGAATATATAAAATTGAAGGTTTTGTATGTTTGAATACGCTAATTATTGAAGTTATTAGTCGAATGTCAAATTTTTTTAGGCTTCAAACAAATTATTTGAAATCTTATAGGCTAGTAACTTTTACCTTTGTACCTTATTTTACCTCCATCCAGAATTTTTTTTGCATAAAATATCCGTCCCGTGATACATCTACTTTCATATCAAATTTTATTGAGCGAATCTCAATAATATTTAGTTTCGTGAAAAACAAACAGACAGACAGATACGCTTCCATATTTATAATATCAGCATGGATTTCATTTCACACTACGATATTTAGCATCCAGATTAAAGAAAAAACCAAAAGAACCACTTTTAGCATAGCATAGGGTTACTAACATAAACTGTTGCGTGATAACTTGGGAATACCACCCGGCTTTTTTTTTTTTTATTAAACTACGTGGCGTAGAATTTCGCCGACCATGATAGTACTTACGTACAATAGACTTATTAACCTCATCCATCACGTTTATACCGAGCTAGTCTAGACCCGGCGTCTCAGTCCAATTACGATAATGGTTGGGTGCATCGCAAAATTCCATAACCACACTTTCACCACTGTAAGTGCCCGCTTTGCTTTCATGTGTCTGATGCCTACAAAGAATGAGACATGTCTATTCTATTGTCAGTTAGGATATCTTGTCACTTTTCCTTCCTTCCAAATAAAATCATTTTTGTTATGCTTAGTATATAGCATGACGTTTTACAACGGAAGAGAAGAGCGGCGACGCGTCACCTAACAATGTCTATTGACTTTTTTGTGTCCTTACTATTCATATACTCCTGATTTTTTTATGTTCTCTACTTATTCACAATCAATAAGAACGTTGTATTTGGATTGGTTAGTATATGAACGAATCTGCAGTCCATTAACACAACTCTTTATTTAAAGAGATTTTGTAGTTAAAAATTAACAACAGGAGTTTTCTTCAGAATATGTGTTCTTTTTTGTTAAAAGGTTGCCTAGGTTAGCTCCTTAAAGAGAACTCTCATTCATCAGACATTAATAAACTTCTCACATACTATGTGGCATCATCCTCCACGTTGATTTATATTAATGAAGATACAACCTACTACCGAAGATTAAATCATAACATAAATAAATTATTATTTAAAGTTATAAATTAATCTTCGGTAAAGATGATGATGGCATTGTGTGAATCCCCATCTAGGCTAGTAGTAACTAAACAGTGCTATGGATATATTTTATACAACTTATGTAAGTCATTGATTTTTTTTAATAAATACACATAATATGCACAGAAAATATCAAGATGGCCACCATACTCCATAATAGAATTTCCTGTGCCACCCGAGAAATCTAACCCGCGAACATAGGCAGTAAGGCGGCGTGCTAAGCTACTGACCACCGAGGCCGTAAAATGAACCATAGCACAATCTGCGTATCATTTAAAAGTTCATTGTATAGAATTAACTACTCCTTAACCATTAAGGCGATAATGTCTTTAACAGTGGAGTTCTTTTCAAACGAATGCACTATATTTAAACCGACTTCCTGTAACTAAAGAGTTTTGTCGTCGTACGTGTGCTCAGTTTCGTTTCCCCCTTGTCTAAACTTTTTTTACAGCACGTGTACAACAGATACAGTTTGGTTTCAGTAGGGATTATGTTTGAATTCTAATTATAACATAAAATTCATAGCGCTAACATTATCTAAATTCACAAAGATTCAGAGCATAGCGGTTCTTCTGTTCATTGTCGCATGCCTGTATGGCTAATCCTTGTTAATGTGTATTTACATAGAACAAAAATTTATTTAAAACAGCGACATCAAGAAACTTCTTGCACATTTTTCTACGTTCCGAATGAGTGATAGAGTAAAGATTATTTCTATTCTACTCTGTAATCTACTTTTCTACTAAGAAGTAACTGATAACTAGCTAATAATTATAGTGGCTAATTTGCCTGGCTATCAATTTTTCAGTTAGTTTGTCCTCTTGGCAGTAACTATTATATATATTTATGAGCAGAGATTTGACCAAGTTAGACTTTGTGTAGTCTGTCCGCTTTACACATATACGATTATGGACATCTGTATTATGGCATGGCAGGGAAATTACAAGATACATAACCTTCGACTTTAGAAGTGACAAAGTTGGTATACCACGCAGAAATCAGCGCATATATCCACTTTCGATGTGATAAACTGTACGATTGTTTACTAAACCAATTGCATAATACTGGTAATAGTTTTTGTAACATACAGCTCCCAAGCTGGTTATTTTTCCCTAGGCCATCCATAAATTGTGCCACGCGATTTGTTATCACTGTTTTCGTTAATTGAAATTTAGTGTTTAAATATTTATATTGTCTATTCGATTTTTAAAATATGAATTTAGAGAAAATCCGTGTCAAAAGAAAGGGATTCTTCCTTCCCACCACGTTGTCAGCCAATGTCACTTTTAGTCAATACTCCTCCCTGCTTTTAACCTATGTCCTAAGTAATAGTCCCTTTCGATGTTAAAAAGCTCAGTGTTTACTTTATGTTGACTTGTGTTATGCCACTTACGACCTAATTTAATATTACATTCAACCGCACCTCCGCACAAGCCTTGTACGTGAACGTAATCATTCGGAACATCGACCTTTTTGCTAACGTTTTCAATTACGTAATCCGTAAGTTCGTTGACACTGAATAATGCATCATTAGGTGCTTTTGATGACCCACTTTATCTCATTTGGACCGCCTGTTTGTTTTGACCAAATCTGGTCGCCCTTTAACCATATGTGTAGCAGTAAACATTTGTGTTTTCACTTATCTAGTGTAGCATATGACACTTTCAATTAAAGCAAGCTTTAATAAAAAATGTGTTGAATATTTTGCCGACGTGTTTACAAATATTTAGCGACCCGCCCGCTTTGCACATGTACAGTTATGTAGGGAGTCTTTCTTTTTTTCTAATAAAATTCAACGCATGTTATTTCAAAATGTAACTTTGTACAAGTCAAAGTACGTTAATTTGGCTAAATTGTTAAAAAAATTAAAACACTTTCTATCTTATGTGAATTATAATGGAATGGAGCAACCGCATACGGAGTACTAATAAAGAATGATAGATTGACCGAAATCAGATCAGTTAACGCTTCGTATAGATAGAATAAAGATAAAATTCGTCTAAGATTGAATTTGTCGCGATGACCAAGAGGAAATCGAACTGGCATGGTATGGGCCACTATTCCCCATGACTAACACTGTCCTGTGCCCACTATCTTTTCTATTTATAGGCATAATTTAGAAAATGTGATAGGTTTTTTATCTACCAAGCTCAAATTTTAACATAAATTTGATTGAAGTATCTTAAGGCTAGTAGAAAAGGGTCATCGAGATGTCGTCAAAGCAAGCTCGGAAAAGGGGTCGAGAGACTTGAAATAACCACGTAAATTTTATGTCGCAACGGCGTTGTCTAAAGTTTTCTGTCTATTTTTATTTTGTATCCCATAAAATGAGACATGTTTAACCTTGTACACATCCAAAATAAACAAATATACCGGATTTATTTTCATCATTACATTTACGAGCGGCCTGTGTAATGATGTATTTTTATTCATCTGTCTGTCACGTTTTGAGGGTAACATGTTTACCATATGGTATACTGCAATGTATTTTGTAGCTTGTTCATAGGCAAAACTTAATGTCGCTGATAGTAACAGTGAATCACCTATTTTGACATTACACAGATTGACGTTAGGTCTATGAGCATGTACATTCCTAAAGTTTTTTGTAATTGGTCTAAACACTTAAGAATAAAAGCAGTATATTTCGGATCTTCAATACATAACACGGGCGTATCTTTATCATCAAACTCTGGCAATATTCCAGTATGAAAATAATCTCTCAGCAATAAATAAAAATTGGTAACACCTACAAGGGCCTTTCTGTTTCTAATACACGTTGTTTATTGGCGACCTATTTTACATTGCGATCTAGCGCAAGAGCGTTATGTTCCATAACGTCACCTCGAAGTGGAACAACGGTTTACGGCGAAATTTTAGTGCTTACAGTTATGAAATATAGTGGTGGATTGTACGATTTGAATAGTGATAGGGTATTTATAATGCTACTCACGACGTTATCCAATACACCCACATTCACTTTGTATCGGCCTCCGGCGCAACTACCATAGATCTTTCTGTTTTTTACAATGTTGTAATTGTAGCTTACAATAATTTAGCATGAAACATATACGAAATATTTAATACATAAACAGTGGAATATAAAAATGAATTCACGTGACTATTACAAAGTTACGTACAGCACTATAGACTCTGATAGAACATCAATCGACAATGTTCTCGACAATGATACTGAATTCAATGCGAATCAGTTCAAGTTGTACGATGATTTCACAACGGATCTGCGTATTAATTTTAATCCAATAAGAAACAATTACCATGAACTGGCCAGGACAGATGGTAAAAGGAGGGGCGATCCTAATGACTCCGGCGTCGATATGGAAAATGGCAACCCTCTAGATGACGTAACAAGGTCTAATAACACTGATTTGGTAAGTACTTTAGCTGTATGAATCGATTTCTCCTTTTTAAAAGGGATAGGATTTGATTTCACGTTTCCTTTTGTGTTATATATAGTTAAATAGAAAATGTATTATATTTTAAAATAATAATACAATTATGGCCTTCGACATTGATTTGATGTAAATATCCAATAAAACTATTATAGCTATTGTACTGTTTTATCCATTACTAGCCAGTCGCCCCGACTTCGCCCGGGTGTACATGTATTATATATATAAACTTTCCTGTAGAATCACTATCTATTAAAAAACCGCTTCAAAATCCGTTGCGTAGTTTTAAAGATATAAGCATACATAGGGACGGACAGACAACAACAGCGACTTTGTTTTATACTATGTTATGATTATCTGGCAATTTTCTTAATTAGAATTGTAGCAAAACACTCTGGAAGTTAATATAGTTCTTAGTAAAATTAACTTTATGAATATAGATCGTTAATGTGGAAACAAAAGTTGTGTTTTTGTTTTAATTTTTACCACAAATATTAATTTTATATAATTAGGAGATCTATGTGGTAAACAATAGAAAATTTAACCGCTCATCATGCGGTTTTAAATTGTAATAACTGCATCTATTGATATATCCTTGATATTGTTTATGCTAATTGCTATTGTTGTGTGTTATGACAAGTGGAAATACTGTCTATTAGTTTACACTAGAAACTAGGCTATTGAGGCACATTGTCTATTTGATATATCCGACAAGTCACAATAACAGTACTATTTCTATGCCAAAAGTTCTTAACATATACTACTACTAGGTTTTGCTAAAATTTGTATAAAATTATAGAATCAATAGAGTATCTATTCTTTTTGTTATTTGTAAATATAATTTTATGTTTAGTCTCTGAAGATTTGAGAAATGTTTTTGTTGTTTCTAAACAACTATTTGTAATTAACAACCATATTTTAAATTCATTCAATCTATCTGGCGTTGTTCACATATCATGTTTTAGTTTAATTATTCAAGCCACTAAACTCCTAAGGGAACTTATTTGTGCCACAACAACTGACGTAATGGCCCGGCGTAACTCATTATGGCAAGTGACTCACTGTGTCTCGCTTGTAGATATTATGTCATCTCTGTCTGTTTATAATTATGTGTATCTGTTATTAAAGCTTTCAATTATATTCAATTAGTTTTTTCGAAGTTTTCTTTAAATTACAGAAGTATCCTATAAATACTATAGTTTTGTTTAATTATTAATACCCATTAACAGCACTACATTCAACGACTTATTCATTGGTATTTTACACACGTTCAAAAACTCCGTTACGTTCCAGCCTTAGAGTTTGTAATATCAATTTACTATTTCAACACACAATGTATTTTGAACATCGATATTCAATTATGATGTAAATTGATCTCGCTAATTATACAAAGATTATTTTTTGTATTCGCTATGAAATGCCTGTGCGTGCTCCCGCTTTCGTGCCAATAACCGGAATTTTTTATGCGTCCACAAATAAGCAATACCTTAGCAAGCGTTCCGACCGACTGACCTTGACCAAGTGATTAACTTCATTACTTTTTTCGGCATTCGTCTTAAGCTGATTACCTTACAACACTTGCAGACCTTTACCTTGACTTCTTTTCCCTTAAACAGTCAATAAACTCTCTCTTGGTTTGTTGCAGTTGGAGAACGAAGTGATGGTAGATCCCTGGAGCAGCATGGACTCCTCCAATTCACCGTTAACTGACTCCGGACCATCTGCCAGTGAAGACTGCACTCCTTCTACCTCAAGTGAAACTCCTCGCGGACCTTTAGACGTGTCTCCTACTTCGCCCGATTCGCGCCGCCTACAAATCCCAAAAGATGTCAAAACACTTCCTACTAGAAACGTTCTCCCGAAGACAACAGACAAGGCGCGCTCTCGGGACCTGACACTAGATTTAGAGACACTAGAGTCCGACTCGCTTCCACGCCGCCCACATTTCCTCGATGAAGATTACCAATTACCCTCCAAATCAAACATCGAATGCCGAATTCCAAAACCACATTTTCTGGATCATTCTCCGTCGCCCGACGAATTCGACGAGCGTAGTGATATAACAAATCCTAACTTTCTTGATGACGAAGTCGATGGCGATGATAGTCTTGGACAGAAAAAAGCCGGTGCTTTTCCAAAAAGACCACAAAAAATTCAACCTTCATATTTGGCCCAAGATGATCGGCCTCATACAACCACTTACAGAAGCAGTCTACATTATGGCCTTGAAAGTGTTGCAAGATCGAATGAGCGCGACAAACGAGCATCCCAACTTTACAGAGGGACTTGGCCGGGAGAAGGCGACGTCTGGACGAGTCATGATGCTTCCAGCGTACGCAGCTTCTCTAGCAATGGATCAACAGAAGGTGCCAGGCCTTCTTCCAATTTAGAAAATAAAATGGAATGTGTTTACTCTTTAATTTCTCTTTTGAGTTTATCACCCGAAAATAACGCTGATCTAAGTGGGCCTCTACTAGAAATGAGCCGTTCCGTGGAAAGTTGTGTAGCAATGAGACAATCTGGATGTATCCCTTTATTAGTCCAGTTAATACATTCAAAAGTGCCGAGGGAAACTCGAGACCGTGCTGCTAAAGCACTACGTAATATTATCCTCACGCAAACGGATGATAAAGCAGGTAGAAGGGAAGCGAGAGTATGGAGATTGTTAGAGCAAGTTAGGGAATATTGTTATGTGTTAGAACAAGTTGTGGAAACCAGAAAAGATGGGCGAGAAGTAATAGAAGACGATGTTAGTAAACATCCGAGTCAGAGTGTCGCCGCTTTAATGAAATTGTCTTTCGACGAAGAGCATAGACATGTTGTTTGTCAATTAGGAGGCTTGCAAGCGCTTGCCGCTTTAGTTAGCGGAGACCAAGCAGCTCATGGTAGTAGAACTGATGACAACACTTGTCTTACTATGCGCAAATATGCTGGAATGACCTTAACTAACCTTACATTTGGTGATGGAAACAACAAATCTCTATTATGTTCCTTCAAAGACTTTATGTTAGCTCTAGTTGAACAACTAGAATCTCCCAACGATGACATGCGACAGGTATTCATTTATTTATTGATTTTAAAGTGATAATATTTTTTTATATAAATTTTTCATTATTTTCATTAATTTGTATTTTATTATTATAGGTGACAGCCGCAGTACTCAGAAATTTGTCTTGGCGTGCTGACCCCAACAGCAAACAAGTTTTAAGAGAAGTAGGTGCTGTTAAAGGTCTGACGAAGGCTGCTATGACGTGTCAGAAGGAAGCTACTCTAAAATCAGTGCTGTCGGCCTTATGGAATTTAACCGCCCATTGCTCTATGAACAAAGTAGCTTTGTGCTCAGTAGATGGCGCCTTGGGATTCCTCGTGGATATGCTCAGCTATAATTCACCGACGAAAACGTTAGCGATAGTGGAAAATGCAGGTGGCATCATGAGGAATGTGTCAAGTCACATTGCCGTTCGGGAAGATTACAGGCAAATTCTCCGTGAGAGAAATTGTTTAAGTGTCTTACTACAGCACCTGAAGTCTCCAAGCTTAACAGTAGTGAGCAATTCCTGTGGTACTTTATGGAATCTCTCTGCAAGGTGTCCCCAAGATCAAGAGTTTTTGTGGGAGCATGGGGCTGTACCGATGCTAAGAAGTCTCATTCATTCTAAACATAAAATGATAGCCATGGGCTCGAGTGCCGCTCTCAAAAATTTACTTAATTCAAAACCAGGTAAAAATCACATTATATCATTAGACGCCACGGCAAGAAGTATGAATCTTCCTGCGCTGCCGACGCTTGGCGTACGAAAACAAAAAGCTTTAGAACAAGAATTAGATCAAAATTTAGCTGAAACTTGTGACAACATCGAACCAGTTACATCGCCTACAACAAGTAATAGAGAAGAAAAGAACCTCTTCACAGCCACTGAGAGACAAATGGCTTTGAATTTGGAAAGACACAGAATGACATCCAGCTCTCCGTTAATGGGGTCTTTGGCGTCGCAAATATCGCTAAGCCACAGTGCAAACCTGGCGAGCTACCTGAGTTGCAGTAATACTTTGTTAAAAGGCGCGCTGGTATCGCGTTCCACGACAGGTGGGAGTTCTAATACTGTAAATAGATCTGAGAGCAAAGACTCTGTTACAAGCACACATTCAGACTCCGTTTTCGAAAGGGTCATGCGCACTGGGAAAGTACCGGTTCCGACACCGAGAAATAAAGACTTAATGAAGAGTGAAAGATTGAGCGATGCGTTCAAAGTAGGTACAAAGGCACATACTAAAGAAAGCAGTTATCTCCGGTATCCCACTCAACCGCCTATACCACCTCCGAGAAGTTCGACAGACATGAGAACAAATTATACAGAATCTGGTTATGACGTCGACCAGGATTCTTGTGACCAACCAGTTGATTATAGTCGAAAATACTCGGAAACCAAATCAAATGATACTGAATCTATTGACAACAAATCGAAATCATCAGAGGTGTGTAAGAAGTATTCTAAAAAAGAGAGCCCGAACACTTTTGGGGATTACCAAGAGACTGATCTAGACCAGCCGACAGATTACTCCCTACGTTACGCGGAACACCAGTCGGAGACCGGTTCAGACTTATCAGAGCCACCAGGTCCATCAGACACTATCAAACACTTTGCAACGGAGGGAACACCTTACGAAACTCCGATTATATTCTCGACAGCTACATCAATGTCGGATCTCAGAGTGATCGGCAAAGACGGCAAGCAGAAGACAATACCGCACACGAAAGAACACCCAGAAGCAATGACCCATTCGGACGAGAAGGACACTTGTTCCATAGAAGACCCGCCTAGACACGACAACGACAGAGCGGCCACCACGCCCCAAGCCTCGTCTGCAGCTGAAACTAATCAGAAGAGGGAGGTATTTGACACCAAGTTTAGCTCAGGAATGATAAGTCCTGAGAAGCCAGTAAACTACTGCGATGAAGGCACTCCAGGTTGCTTCTCGAGAGTCAGTTCCCTTAGCAGCGTCGGGGAGCCTACCGAGGAAGACAGTATAGCTAAAAAGAATGCTATGGCTACTATCAACGTGGAACCGAGTCCTCAAGAGCCCAGCTCTGGCAGTATTTCGAAGGATAAGGAAGGTTTGTATTTAACTTTACAATTCTTTTTTCTTGTACAATATGATATACAATCTGACCTTACATGAAATAAATTAGAATTTTAAATTTCTAACAATACATATATTACAGTATAGATATAAGTAATTGCCCAAAAAAGATGCGTTGTCATAAGATAGCCTATTACATTAACGTTACCATTTTCTAATTTATATAATGCCATGTAGTGCAAAATTATAAATATATAATTAAACAATTATATTTGTATGCATGTTTATTTGTTAATTGAAGAAAATAAAACACCAGAACACTCCAATTGCGCAAAGTGTTTTTCTATGTAATTAAAATATTAATATTCCATGTGAGTTTACGTAAACCAAACATAACGGTTGTATTTTTATTTTTACCTATTGCAGGATCGAAGGCGGTCACGTTCGCGTCGGAGCCGACGTCGCTGGGCGCTGGGTCACCGCGGTTCGTGGAGGACACCCCGCTCATGTTCTCTCGGTCCAGCTCGCTGGGCTCGCTGCCCGACTGCGGCCCGCACGATGACCAGGGCTCCGTCTTGTCGGAATTCAGGTAATACACGTACCAGAATACGTCATCAGTCATTAGAATAAGTAAAAATTTTGTACCCCTTTTTAAGAAAATTGCGCGGACGGCATAGTATGAAATTTCGCACACTTATAGTTAATTAGCTGTCTCGGCAAACGTCTTACCATATAAATTAAAATGGCTATTAAAAATACGGGTTGGTGATAAAAGGGTGATATGATAGGGTTGTATGTATTGTAATGTCACATCATAAAAAAATAAAAATGTCGTCCAAAAAAATAAGTGTTAAGGTTTGGACAACCCTTATTACTTAGGGATATGAAAAGTAGATAGTAGCAATTCGCAGACCTACTGAATATACTTATAAAATTTCATAAAAATCCATCAAACCGTTTCGGAGGAGTATGGTAAGTAACATTGTGACACGAGAATTTTATATTTATACTAGCTTTTGCCCGCGGCTTCGCTCGCGTTAATTTATCCCCTTAGGGGTGGAATTGATCAAAATCCTTTCTTAGGGGATGCCTACCTCATAATAGCTTTATGCATGCAAAGTCTCAGTCCGATCGGTTTAAAATTGACAAAGTTTCATACAAACTTTCATCCCCTATTAATCCCCTTGGGGGTAGAATTAATATAAATCCTTTCTTAGCGGATGCCTACGTCATAACATTACCTGCATGCCAAATTTCAGCCCGATCCGTCCAATGGTTTGGGCTGTGCGTTGATAGATCACTATGTCAGTCACCTTTGAGTTATATATGTATATATAGATTTAAGATATAGTGAAGAAGTTCAGAGTGCTAATATATTTTTTAAATTGTACCTGAAAACTACCTTAATGTACTACCGAGGCCGCAAATAAAGTATATTTTTTGTTTGTTTTTTCAGTCGGCTGCCATCTGGGTGTATCTCCCCGAGCGAAATTCCGGACTCACCAGGACAGAGCGTGCCCGCCTCACCGCCGAGCCTTGCGAACCTCACACCAGGTATGTCTCCAGTTATATCATCATCTTCTTTATCCCATATATTTGTTGTCGGCGTAATAGGTTTTTCTCTTCCATTCATCCCTGTTCGTCATCCCAGTCGTCTCGTTATTCACTCCCTATCCTGCTATATCATCTTACACACTGACAGTTTCTTATATTATTAAATTGACGACCTCGGTGGTATAGCGGTTAGCACACCGCTTTACGATCGATGGTCGCGGGTTCGATTCCTCACAAGGCACAAACATTTTGTATTCATGAGTATGATTGTTTGTATCGGTCTGGGTGTTTTCTATGTATAATAAGTATGTATTTACAAAAAAAAAATATCTATGTATATGTATTAGTTATCTAGTACCCATAACACAAGCTTTAGCTAGCTTAACTTGGGTCTAGATGGCGCTGTGTGAATTGTCCTGAGATTATTATTATTATAATAATAATAATTATTATTATTATTAAATAGTTTACAAAGTGAAGTACTCAGTTTCGTTCACTTTAATTTGTAATTTGAATTAATCCTTACTGATATTATAAATGCGAAAGTAGCTCTGTCTGTCTGTCTGTCTCGCTTTCACGTCAAAACTACTGAACCGATATAAATGAAATTTGGTACACAGATAGTATAGATACTGAGAAAGGACATAGGCTACTTTTTCAAGCGAAAAAAGGGTTGTAAGGGATTGAAAGAAGAGATGAATAATTGTATTGAGGTATCGTCATTTTAGAAGCTTGAAACTTATTTTTTGAGCTGTTAATAAATATAAGTAAACGACACTTTTTTCTTTAACTTTTTTGGGTTAGATATTTCACCCGAACGAAGTCGCGGGCACAGCTACTAACTTATAAAAACGGTCAATCCCCAGTCCAATTAAACGGGGATAGAAATTAAAAAGGCCTGAGACGAGGTTTGAGACTAAAGTTACTTTCCGTAAGGAGTTGGCCTTCAGCCACTCCATAAGTTCTTCCATGTGTTTCTTCCATCTCAACTTGCCCCCAAATCGTTCGGTGAAGCTGTAAAGACCAGCTGCGGCTGATAGCATTAAACTAGTCCGGAAAAAAAAACAGTGGCGCTCAGTGCATATGCGGCTGCGTGCGCTAACTCTCGTCTAAACGATTTTAATTTTTCCAGATTAATATTGTTATATACTACTAAAAAATCTATAAATCTTTAACGCCTATTTCTGCCGTTCAACAACTTGCTTTAGTTGTGTCTCAGAAGGGTCAATGGTGATTATACTGCATGATAACTTGGGGACTAAGTCATCAATCCGTAGGGCAACGGGTCACATGATGTGAGGACCTTATTGCTATTTATGTATATCCAAAGATGACGGTTGATATACGTCAGCTGTATGTCATCCAATAAAGCATAAAAATATACGAAATGTTTAATATAATATTTTAAAATAAAATGTAGTATTACTTTTATAATGCAGTAATATTTAGAACTTACATTAGGTATACACATAATCTTATATACAAAATTCTCGTGTTACAGTTTTCGTTCCCATACTTCTCCGAAACGGCTTGACCGATTCTCATGAAATTTTGTGAGCGTATTGAGTAGGTCTGTGAATCGGCCAACATCTATTTTTCATCCCCCTAAATGTTAGGGGTAGTCCACCCTTCATTTTTTTTTTATTTTAAGGCAAAACAATGTTTGCCGGGACAGCTAGTGTAATATAAGAGATATGATGGATTAAGTGATGTTGCGGGTGAATAATAAGATGTTGTTGGTCGAGACGATGTATATTACAGATGATGATAAACTGACAATGTGTACACAGAAATAATGATCTTATATACTAAATAACAATAGGAAAATGTAAGGTGGGGTGACACAGTTTTAGACACAGCAGTGCTTAGTAGACAATATTGAATTTGTCTTACTAGACATTATTAAATGCAATTATTATTTTGATGTATCTAGGTGACTGTGTCCCATAAGTGACATTATACATAGCAGTCAATTTGATGATTTCATTTAATAAATTATATAGATATAAACATTTTCTTATAAATACTTTGGTGGAGTATATTGGCATACATCACAGGCAGCTAAAGGGGAAGCTTTACGACCTTTAGCTGACTTACCCATCTAGTAGTTTCTGATGCAATTACTACAAGTCATATTAAAAATCAAAATGTAAAATGTAAATAACAAATATCTGAATAAAGGCTTTATTATTATTATTATTATTATATATATTAAAACCAATTTTATAACTGTTCATACAACTTACTGAGAGAAGACTACAATACTATCTTGAATTTACGTATTATGGTCACTGGGGTACATTGACATCTATGCAAAACAAATTAGAATTGTTTTTCTACTATTTTCCGGTTCTTGTACGTTTGTTACGTATAATTACCTTTTGTTACGTGACTCAGTATTGTTGACTCATTATATTAATGATCAATTCTATTCAGTTTCTAAATACTACACTACATTCATTAATGATCATCGAGAATTTATATAAACAAATGCGCGCTTACTCGTTTATTAAAAAATTTTAGTGTTCAATGAACAGAGGTAGACTTAGTAAAGTTAAAATGATAAAAAAATATTAACTTAGTAAAGTTGTCTGTTCGCTTTGTAAGCTATGTATGTGTTGGTTATATTGTATGATAATAATAATAATAATCTAAGGAAAATTCACATAGCGTCATCTAGGCCCACGTTAAGCTAGCTAAAACTTGTGTTATGGGTACTAGACAACTGATACAAATACATAATTTTTTTTTGTAAATATATATATTATACATAGAAAACACCCAGACCGGTACAAACAATCATACTCATGAATACAAATGTTTGTGCCGTGCGAGGAATCGAACCCGCGACCATCGGACGTAAAGCGGTATGCTAAACCACTAGACCACCGAGGTTGTCAAATGATGATATGAGACAATGAAATTACTGGATACGAAGCATAAAAACTCAGTCCTCAGGAATTGCCGAGTATCTCTGCACTCCAGGTTGGCGGGTAGAGAATGCTATAAGCATTAAAATTTTGTACAATAGGCTACTATTTCATTAAAGTTTAAATAAATAAATGGTCACGTATGAGTGGTGTCATGGCTATGTAGTTATTAAATACATTTATTTTGTATAATTCGTAGTCTGGTCGCTGAATTGTCAACTAGGGATCCAAACTAAATCCAAACCCTATTAATTGCCTGATGGTGCTTTTTAGAGAGAAACAAGTTTGGCAATATGTGTGTAAAGCCGATAACGGTCGGAGTTTGATCAACTAGTGGGTAAGGTCTTTTTTGGATGATAATGGAATGGTGCACCCGCCTGTGCTAACGGTTTACGCTGGCGGGGCACCAGTGAAAGATGATAAGATGAGGTCAGGTCAGCCCATCGTGACAAGCTCACCAGGAATTTATCACGATGGTTTCTAGTTGAGGTCAACCTGACATGGTACATTGCTAGTACCATGTTCCCCTTTCCCCCAATGGGGAAGGTCGTAACACTCCAAGTAGCACACATTCTAATACTCACGAAATGAAACAAAATAATATAAATGCATTAAGTGATGAAATGAACTTCAAATCAAAATATCTTTAAGCAAAATCTACCGTTAGTTGAGTGCGTTCAGATAAGTACTGATAAGAAACTTAGCTCTTATTTTGAAATGAGTTTATGATTATGAAGTCATTTCTATATTCAACTAGCTGAGCCAGCAAACTCCGTTCCGCTTCAGAATTAAATAATATGTCATGAGTTTTTTGAAGTTTAGTAAAGCAATAAATATCTGAACGAACCCTGTTTGACAGGTTAGGAACATTTTGTATGGGAAAATAGCATGTTAGCGCAGGCGCACGCTCCATTCCATTATCATCCATAAAAAAAACCATTCTAGTCGACTTTAAAGATTTATAATTTTTTTCTGTTGGTGACGATGATGTAAGGAAATGTACGATGAGCAGATCGTTCGCGAGCGGGGGCGCAGTCGTCGCAGGCGACGGAGGCGACGGAGGCTGCGGGGGAGGCGGGGGCGGGGCCGGGCTCCGTGTTCGAGGAGCGCGTGTCACAGTTCGTGGTGGAGCACACGCCCGCACTCTTCTCCGCGGCCACCTCGCTCAGCAGCCTCACCATCGACGACGAGCCGGCGGTGAGTGAATTAATGAATGAATGAGTAGAATTACTTTTATTAAGTAACATTTTATCTATGAGCCCCACTAGGCTGCACTAGTGCACCTGCTATATCCATTAGCTGTCTTTACACTATGCCCACACTTGTAATATTTCCGTCAACACTCGGCAGCCTTCCATTTGTTTACGTCTCATAATTAGATTTAAGTACAGTGTAAACTCTATCTTATATTTCAAATGGCGGACATCTGACTATGGAACAAAGGAAGTAATAATAGAGTTATTGATAATTTATAAAGCATTGGAATAAAAAAATTAAGATATAAATCAGAATGTTAAATGACATGAAATATACACGCTAAAGAGATACAACACATAGTATAATGATCACAGGCAGGGGCGGATCGTGAATTTGTGGGGCCCTGGGCTAAATCTACTTAGGGGCGTACCTACCGAACCTAATTATATTACTCAACTAAAAAAATACACCGACCAAAAACAAGCGACCAGAAATCCCCCGTTCCTTTCCATAGACGCGCACTTGCAAGGGTTGACTGATCTCAGGGTTCCCAACCTTATGATAGGTTTTTTAACATTCTAGATATTTTTTTATATTCTAAATATCGTTTCAGTGGGGACTGGGGTCCCTTTGTACCCTCAGGGCTCTGAGCTACAGCTCAAAAAGCCCTTAGGTAGATCCGCCCCTGATCACAGGATTGCGCGCCCTGGCTTTCCAGCGCTAAATCGCACGTACTCTTGATTGCTCGTGAAAAAACGTGTCGTGTAAAAGCACCTAATGTTGACCACATTATGGCTTCACTTACCGATCATTCGATTAGTTACTCTATTTTCGCTACGTGCTCTATGACTGTATTGATAAAGAAAAAGATATTAGTTTTAACATATATCTTTCGTATCCAGAGATCTTACTTTTGTCTATTGAGATAAAAAGCTAATCCAAAAACTCAAAAAAAATTGTGACCAACTTGTGAGTACAGTGTATCTTTCTTTTTATATCGGAGTTATGAATTTACAAATTTATTAAAATAAATAAAATTTCTAAAGTAAATTATTCCTTATAACATTAGCTATCTGCGAGTAAAAGGCTCAGCAATGGAAATGGGTCCAGCCGTTACAGATTTAAATTTTCAGATTAGATGTTTGAGGTGTGCATAGTTGGTATGTAATGTGATATTTATTGAAATCCTTATCCTTACCAATATTATAAAAGTGGAAATAAGGATGTTTGTTACGCTTTCACGCAAAAACTACTGAACAGATCATCATAAAATTTTGTACACACGTTCTTGAAAATATTAGAATGAACATAGGATACTTTTTATTAAAAAAAAACACTTTTTAAAAAAAACAACAATAAAATCTCAACACTATGCTACTTTAGCATCATATAGCAGCCCGTAATGAACTTATGCGAGCGAAGCCGCGAGTAGAAGCTTGTATTTTAATAAATAATATAAAAATGATCAACGATCTGTTTATGTATATGTATATATATATCTGTTTTAGAGTATCAAACATTTATCTTCTAATAGACATTATTACAATATTTATCACAAAAATACATGTAATATTGTTATCTCTTTCCAGCAATCAATACAGCTGCCTGGTATGACACGTCGGGAGAACAATAGAATCATCACAGATCAACTGGATATCAGCTCGCAGGGTGACAGGTAACAAATATCAAACATATTACACACCGAGACAACTTGAGTGTATTTTTATCAGTTCACAATAAATACATTAATTCTTATTAATATTATAAATGTGAAAGTTTGTGAGTACGGACGGACGGATGGATGTTTGTTACTCTTTCACGCAAAAACTACCGAACGGATTTTTATGAAACTACAGTAATATAGCTTATACATTAGAATAACACATAGGTTATAGTTTAAAAAGATATGTGGATTGGGCGAAGTGTAATGATAAATGTCAAGTGTGATGCAGACGAAGTTAGTATTTTGATATTATTGGGTCTTCCATGTTTATTTTAGCTAGTATTTTGATATTGTTGAATTTTAATGTCTTCCAATGTTTATTTAAAATATGATAAAATATATCTCTCTTTAAGAGCAAAACGACTGACCTTTCCGTATATTTTTTGGAATATTTTTTTAAAAGTGCTTTCAAACATTAATTTACGGATATTATTTCATATTAAAATATGATAAAAAAATAAATAGCCTAAGATATCATCAACACCTTTTTTTTTTTTTTTTTTCTCTTTTAAGAGCATGACGGAAGTTTCGGAATGAGCAAACATCTCTTCTTACTGATGAGTTTTAATACTGTGTTTGGAATGAGCTAAGGTTAATGTTTTGGAACCATGGGATACGAGGGGTTCACTTTGCATAGTTCTGTACCATATGCCCTTTTCCGTTGATCTTTTATTGAAATATTCTCGCCACATATCATGACATTTTATTTTAAATGTATGTAGAATGAAAAAAGGAACCCATTGCAATCTGAGATCCACTCCACTGTTTTTAATCTCTTTGATTTGTTTAAGCACAGCATAAGCCTTCGATACTCCTCTGTAACCAGAGGTGCATCGAGTCACATGCTGCAATGCACTTTTGCTGTCTGTCATAATAACAATTCTGTGAGATCGCAATGAGTTCCACCGACTTATTTTAGCTCGAATTCTGTAGCTTGTAAAGTGCTTATTAAGTTTTTTTTAACAAACATTATTTTTATTTATAAAATCCATTATATTTATAATTAATTTCCTCTAACACACTATTTTTCAGGGTATTTATTTCTATTAGTTTTTTCGACTTCGTTCGCGTGAAATTTAACAAAAAAGTTAATTATAGAATTTTTCTAAAAAATAAATAGCCTAAGTTACTCCTTATTACATCAACACCTGTTAAAAAAAAGTGCCGTCAAAATCGGTCCAGCTATTTCAGAGATTAGCCGGTACAAACAGACAGACAGTCAAAAATTGTATAAAATGTTATTTTGGTGTATGTACCGTATTTATGTATAAAAATTGTATAAAATGTTATTTTGGTGTATGTACCGTATTTATGTATATTCATACGCATGTAGTAAAAAACGGTTATTTCAATATTACAAACAGACACTCTAATGTTATTTATATGTATAGATGAATTGATCAATATTAAGTTTCAGACCAAATTCAAACGATTTCGTTCAATCTTTATGTGTGTTCTTTATATTTTTATGATTAGGTTTGCTCTTGTGTTGATATCCCTAACTATGTCATATTATGTTATCTGTGTCCCTAACTGAAAATTCATTTAGAAGTAGGTATTGTTTATTTTATTGTTCTTAGTAATGTGGATTACTAACCTTGCTATCAATTTACCATGTCAGGTGGACCTCCACATATATAACATAGAACCTTATCACTGGACCTGTAATTTGTCCGATTACAAGGTACCCCGGACTATAGGGGACCCCTTAGGCTGTTCGTTCTTAGTAATGTGGATTACACAAGTACTTGTTACACAGTCACTTCTAACTAAAAGTTTATTTTTTATGAAAGAATACATGGTTAGTTTTGAAATAGATCTTTTAATATATATATATATAATAAATAAAATATATAGTTTTGTATTTTTTTTTCAGAGTTCACATACAACCGCGGCCAAACGCAATTGACAACTCTAATGCACTAAAAGGTAATTAGATCAAATCAAAATATTTATTCGGAACGTGTGACCCGGGTGTAGGTTTAAAGTGCCTCTTTGCCGACGTCAATACTCACCTTCATCGCTCATGTTCTTCCTAACCAGACAAATCTGGTCGGAGACTGCTAGTGTAGCTTTAGATATACGTTCTGGTATAGAACTCACTGCAGTTCTAGATAGGCAAAAGTCTTATATAATAGAAGATTGTCGAGAGATTCCAGGTATAATTTTCGCTCGCACTTCGACCTATATGCATATAAATTAACCACATGGCCTTTTTTCATTAATTCGTTGATGTAATGTTTTATTAATTATAATTATTAAGCTTAGCAGAACTTGTGTTATAAGTACTAGACAACTGATATAACATGTCCATTTCTCAGTTAATTCGTTATTAATTCTTTTTTTGTACAATTCATACTTCGCATGTAGTCCCAAGCTAAGCAACGCGTGTGTTATGGATAGCAACGCTTGTAAATGCATGCATAATATATGTAAAAAACACCCAGACCGACACAATCATACTCATGAATAAAAATGTTTTTACCGTACATAGAATCGAACCCGCGGCTATCGGAATTAAATCGATTTGCTAAACCACTAAACCACCGAGGCTGTCATTTATTTGCAAATAATGTTATAATTTATATTTAATTCCAGGCACGCAAACACCCAGTGACGTGTGTCGAGTCTACTTCACGGAGGACACGCCCGCCATCTTGTCGAAGGCCGGCAGCAACTCAAACCTATCCGTGTTGTCTATAGACTCTACACCCATGCAACCGCCCATACAACCCCTTCAAACCATGCAGTCCCAAGCCATACATACTACCATACAACCCGCCAACGATTCGTCAGACAGTTCCAACTTGAGCGACGCGGGAGATCTGCTTGAGGAGTGTATACAGAAAGGCATCGCGAAGGTAAATGGTTTTTTTCATTAGGGATGTTAAGGAGCTCCGTAACCGTAACCGAAACTATCGGATATCCGATATAATAAAATATTCGTAACCGTAACCGAATCCGAAATAAAAGTTTCGGATAATATCGGATAGGAGCTGAGCCTAATTGAGACACGTTATGTAACCATTTTATTAGCTATTTGTATTTTACTTTTGAAATTCCTTAAAAAAATAATATCCATAACTGAAAATATCCGAAAATAACGGATAATCCGAAATATTTTCATATCCGCATCCGTATCCGTATCCGGTATAATAACCATTCCTATATCCGAAACATATCCGTATCCGAAATTTCATATCCATAACATCCCTGCTTTTCATTATCTATATCCGTATATCATACTATATCCGTCATACTCGTGAACGAGCGCTGCTTGTAGGGACTGCTCTATAATTAGTAGTAGTCATCTACTACACACTAATAATTAGTTGTGTATGTAATATTTTAACTACTAATGAATCAGTGCTAGTTGATAGTTTTAATTCACAATTTTCAAATTAAAACTGTAAAGTTAACAACAAAATTATTTAAAAGAGCAATACGCATTCTTCTTGTGATGATGTTTTCCGAATGTATGGTAGATTAAAAAAAAATAAGTGATGACTATTCAAAACGATAGTGTCCAACACTAAGAATCTCAAAAAGCTGGCAACATACGCTATATAAAGTTTGTTTCTGAGATATTATGTGTGATTTTATTTTTGTCTGTGTAATGTGTGTCTGTACTATCTAATATTAACTCTAATAGAAATAGAAATAGAAATAATCTTTATTCAAATAAACTCATTACAAGCACTTTTGAATAGTCATATTTTGATTCTACCACTCATTCGGAATGCAGATTCATCACAAGAAGAATGAGCAAGAAACTTGTGTGTTGCTCTTTTTAATAGATGCTTTTTTTATATAAATAATTACAGTGTAACAAGTAAGAGGCATGCGACAATCAACATAGAAATCGCTACGCACTCATTATTAGTGTAATCAGATAATAATTATATATTCTATTTATGTATATGTATTCTATTTATATGTATATATATATATATATATGTATATTAATGGTATTTGTATGTATGTATGTTTAGTATTCATATATTATCTAACTTTTTATAGTGCGCCACCTACCTTCCCCTTACTCAATTCTTCTATCTCCCAGGTTGTCTGTAAGAGATTGCTTTAAGCGATAAGGCCGCCTTTTGTTTGCATATCCTTCTTTTTTTTTTATTTCCTTTTTGTAATTATTTGTTTCTTTTATGCACAATAAAGAGTTTTATTATTATTATTATTATTATTATTGTAAGTGCTATATAATAAAACTGTAATACTAATAAAATGAGCTATAAAACCTAATAATAAAATAAAATATTATTATTATAAAAAAATAGCGACTATAGGTGAATTAAGCAAGTTATATACTCATTTATTTGGTGCAGGTGGTGAAAAACAAGGGTCCACCGTCGGACATCTCCTCCAGCAATATGTACGACAGAGACGATGTATACGTAAGTACATGATCTGCTTGTAGAGTTAGTGGTCGCATATTAACATTTGTATTCATAAATATGATTGTTTGTATCAGTCTGGACGTTTTCTATGTATTTTTTATTTTTATTGGGTTGTTTGGGCTATTGTCAGATGTGTAGCACCTGTAGCACTGCGTACCTACATAGATCTATTGTGCTCGCCCTTTTCAGAGTTCGCTACCTAGACCGTCAGGGACAAGAATTGAAGGATATTCTTAGGAGCGATCGTTTTTATCTCCTCGGGAAAGAGTGTAAACTTTCCAAAGGAGATATTTCGTTTATGCATGAGTGGGCTACAACCACATAGGATGTGTAGCGGCGTTTCCTCTTCAGTTTGGCAGAATCTGCAGATACTTGTCGTGCATTTTCGTGCTTTTCTATGTATACTAATTATGTATTTACAAAAAAATAGCTCTGTATTTATATTAGTTGTATATAACACAAGCTCTGCTTGGCTTGGGACTAGATGGCGCTGTGTGAATTGTCCAGGGGTATATTACATTATTATTATAAACTATGTTCAACAGTTAGCTGTAAGTTTTTTGTTGGATGATAATGGAATGGTGCATCCGCCTACGCTAACGGTTTACGCTGGCGGGGCACCAGTGGAGGATGATAAGATGAGCATGATGTCAGGACAGTTAGTACAACGTGACAAATTCACCAATAATTTATCTGGATGGTTTCCAGGGGGAACCGTGTGGAGGTACAACCTGAGATAATACATTGCTAGCAATAGGGTTATTAATCCACAGTAGCATTCCGCAGAAAATGGTGATGAACTCAATCTATGTATTTGTATCAGTTGTCTAGTACCCATAACACAAGCTCTATTTAGCTTGGGACTAGATGGCCCTGTGTGAGCTCTACAGATTTTTTTTTTAAACGAGTTCACACTGTGTGTGTTATATTGTTGCAGCGATCTCTGCCGCCGTATCTGCGTTCGTCCACTGAAACTGTCAAGTTGTCACATGAACACACCAGAACTGTTCGGGACAGGTAAGAAGTTTCATTCCTCATTGCCTATTAAATACGTACAGCAAATCTATTAGTTGGTGGTCGGTGGTCTAGCGGTTTAGCACACCGCCTTACTTCTTTCTTGCGGGTTCGATTCCGCACTGTGCAAACATTTGTATTCATTATTATAATTGTTTGTATCTGTCTGAGTGTTTTCTATGTATGATTTACGAAAAAAAAATCAATGTATTTGTATTAGTTGTCTAGTACCCATAACACAAGCATTAGCTAGGTTAACTTGGGTCTAGATAGCTCTGTGTGAGTCATGAGATTATTATTATTATTATTAAATACGTCATTAGCATAAGCTGATCATTTTCCGTTTCCTTCCTTCGTCAGATTTTTTTATAAAAATATTTTTATTCCGACCTTGTGATATAATCTGTTTCATTTCAAATTTCATTAAGTACCGCTCAACTATAGTTATGACCTAATGCTGTGAATGAATAGAGTGTACGGTGAGTTTAAAAGCGTTGCTGTCCACAGTCCACCACCGCTGCCGCCCAAGCCGGCTGCCGCAGCTCAACCGCCGCCACGACCACCGCCCGCGCCCGGTACGTTCACCAACTAGTTATTTTTATATTTATTTATACAGGGTTTAAAAGTATTTCCGCCTACACTAATTGTATGCTGACGCTATCCGTTAAAATGTGAAAGTGCTAAATTCAGAAAATGATGCTAAATTTGTCCACATTCTCATATTGATATGATTACTACTGGGCTATTTGTTTACTGCTGTGTGTATTAATTATAATAACCATTCAAATTATTATTTTTCAGGCCGAAATCATGAAAGTTCTCTACCAATCAAAATACAAGGAAATTCATCGGAGAAATCAAAGTTGCCCATCGCCACAAACTTGCTGAGAAACGATTCTCAGAGCTCCCTCAGCTTGGACTCATTCGGCTCCACTGACAGGGAAATATTCGAAGAAACAGTCAAAGCCGGTCTATCAACCGTCAACCCGAGAGCGACCACCCTAGACAATAGTAGGGGCAAGGCACATTCAGTAGAACGACCAGCGGAATCGATACGGCACGGGCGACACCACAAATCTCTGGACCGAAGCGACAAGATCCCCCAGCACCGTCCCAAGATCAAGGACCCGGAGTTCGAGAGAACCTCGCTTCCGGGGTGTACAACTTGAAGCCGTCGAGTAAGATGAAGAAACTCGAACGGGACCTGATCGGTATGAACGCATCTCCCCCGGCGGCCAGTCTGCCCGACCGCAGCAGTTCACTGTCGTCGCTCAGCAACGATTCCTTCGGTTCCACGGACATGGAGGTGTTCGAGCGGAGCGTTCGTATGGGGATGTCGCGCGCGCACCGTCGTCGCGACGAGCGGAAACGCGACACGACGCGACGGCGGCAGGGGGGCGCGCTCGAACGCATGCAGGGGGACGAGTACTCGCGCGACCGAGCCATACTCGAGGAGGCCATCGCGCGCGGCGCGGGGGAGGGCAGGGACGCGAGGGGGGAGGCGAGGGAGGCGAGGGGGGAGGCGCGGGAGCAGTCAAAAAACGTCCCGGCGCCGTCTGCGGCGAGCGCGGCCGCAGGCGGGCGCGCAGGCACCGCGCCAAGCACGCCCACTGGGTGTGACCCCCCGCCACCGCACCACGGATCCGCGCCACGCGCCGACCCACACACGCCACGCGCCGACGTACCCACGCCACGCGCCGACGTACCCACGCCACACGCCGACGTACCCATCGCAGACACGGACGCTCAAATAGCGGATGCGGACACGACTTTAGACTCGGTGAGGACGTTCGCAGCCGACGGTTCGAACGAGTGCCTCGTCCTCGCAGCCGCGGACACGACCGGCGAGTCGGACGGGAGATACGACCTGGACGTGTCCAACGAGTCGTACGCGGACGTCGGCGACGGCTCGCTGTCGGACGCGGGCTCGCCGCCGCGGCCGGGCCGCCCGGACGTCCGGCGCGGCGAGCCGTCCGGCCGGACCGCGGACACCTGGAACGACAACACCTGCCCGGACGACGTCACGTTCCCCACCATCAGCGGGTCCGTCCACATGGTTTCGTCGATCAGGAGCGAGGTCGTCGATGCCGGGATGGCCCTTCCGGATCTCCTCGAGAAGAGCGAAGGCAACATGTCGTTCTCCCGTCCGGATTTAACGAATAAGCTGGACGGTGAGAACACCGAGATGCGACGACTCAGGACCGAAGAAAAAGATGGCGATGTCATGTTACTACACAACGGCCTCGAGCCGAGTTTTACCTCTTTAACGGATGACGGGGAACACAGATTCGACTCGATAATATCTGCCGCCATCGAAAAGGAAGCTTCCAGATTAGCCGCTCAACTAAAGAGTTCGCAGTATGTTATGGAAAATAGCATCACATCTCTAACATCTCTCGACTTGGACAATGTAAAGCCGCCTTCTGATTTAGGCAGCTTGTTATCCCTGAGTGTCTCGGGTCAATGGGACGAGTGTTCCGGTCAAGTATCTAAAAAATCGCAACGCAGTCGCAAGAAATCTCTGCCGGTCGCTCTAATGGTGAAACGAGCCCTGAGCAATTCTTTCAATCTTGGTAGCTCGGAGCATTTAGACAGCAACCCTATTAGTTTCTTAGATAATGTAAAACCTCCCTCGGAGATGGAGAACCTCGATATGGAAAGCAGTATGATCTCGGTATCAAGTATAGTCTCGGAAGTGGCAGAGGTTAAAGAAAAAACTCCTGTAGTGTTTGATTTCAAACAGCCAATACAAGACTTCCCGCTTTACCATAACTTCACAACTGTCTTCCAAGACCTGGATAAGGTTAATCCTCCATCTTTGTTTGATGAAATGGCAGAGTCTACATTAGAAATAGACCAAACCACCGCACAAGAAGTTCTAGATGATTGCGTCTCTAACACTTTAAATGTTGTAACCGACATTCCTTCAGGCTCCGAAAATTGCACCCCAATACCATCCGATATAAGTAGTGTGGAATCTACGCCAAAGCGACAAAGAAACTCTAAATATTTAACACCAAAAGAAAAAAGGGTTGTATCTAAAGATAGATATCAAACATACACAATCATTGATAGCGTAACAGAGAACGAAATTGTTCCAGAAATAGAGGAAGAATTTGTGACCTGGACTAAGTCGGAGAGTGATGCAAGCGGCCCCTCTGACGAGTACTATACTGCCACTTCAGATTCGAAATGTAAGAGGAAACTCAGTGCCAAACAAAGAAGGTTAGAGGACAGAGCTAGGTATCAAACACAAACCGTTGACATACATAATATTTTGGCCCAGGAGTCATCTCAAATCAAAGTAGATTCCAGTATAGAGAATCTGAAACAGCGTCTAGCAGCAAAAAAGACAATGAAACAGAAACGTATAGAGGACACTGAAAGATTCCGAACTCGGACTTTGAGCGAGGACATACCACCGTCGCCGACATTCGTCACGAAAGATGCAAACTTCGAAAATGTTGAAACAACCACGGGATATGACAGTTTGTCGTCTAATGAAATGAATCATCAGCAGATACTTGATGATAAGCACAGAGACGACGATGTATTCTCCAGAGATGCTGACAGCGGACACAATGAAGACGACTTTGAATTGAATTCCACACAAATGCAAACGTACACAAGGAGTTTCAGGAACTACTTACCCGTTATTGAAAGTCCATCAGCAGTCGATATGTGTGTCGTGAACAATCTCAAAAACATAGAGATGACTGCATCTTATAGACGCACTTTACAAATGCAAAGTGACAAGAGTCAAAACCCAAGTAGTAGTGACTTCGCGAGCTACGAAGGGGATAGTAATTCTGAAGATAGGGTACAGTCTGAATCAGATACAGAAACACCAATGTCTCGACCAAAACCCAAGATAATTAAACCGTCACGCCGTGACGAGAGTTTAGACAGCAATGACTCGCTCGAAAAGGAGCCAGAATCTCCTAAAGTTGTCAGAGGTAGGAAGAAAGCTATGTATGTATCGCCGTATAGAAGAAACGTGTCTACGGCTAAGAAACCATCGACACCTCCTAGTAAAAGCACAACAAAAACGACGACGCCTTCCGCAAAAGGCTCTACGAACCTAGCTAAACCTCTAATGACTGCCAAAACTCCAAACAAAACTCCAACCTCTTCCAAAACACCCAGTGCTAATACGTCTCCCAAAAAGTCTCTTATTAACAAGTCTCCTTCCAAAACAGCTCCACAAAAACCGATATCTGTACCTCTCGTTGCTACTAAACCATTGCCATTAGAAAGACAAGGTACATTTACAAAAGAGGAAAGCACTGTTCCACCTGAAGATCTGCCTAAGCCCGATAAGAAGAACGTACCTCGATTAGCGAAAGTTTCGTCGCCGACAAAACCTAACCCTAATACGTCACCATCTAGGTTACCGCAGCTGAGTCGTTACTCGCGGCCGCAAGCAAATCGAAGCAATCCAACGAAGCAGCCGAGTAAAGTGTCTAACATAAAACGTCAGTCAGAACCACTCATGAAGAATTCGCCGTCAAACCACAGTCTCCAAAGCAATGAGAGTGGCAAAACAGTAACTTTAGGATCTCGTGCGTCAAGACAAGGCAGCACGTCTAGTGTTAACTCCGTACAGTCATCGAAAGCGAAGGAAGTTGAGAGCAAAATAGCAAATTTGTGGAAGAAAGTAGAACAGAACAAGAAACAACCTACGAAACCTGACAAGAGGGTGTGGATAGAAAGCGACAAGACTGAAACTCCGAAGTTAATCAGGAGTTCTACGTTTGAAGGACAACCGAAACAGAGCCAGGTATCGTCGGCGCCTAAACAAAAATCTGCTATTGGCATAAGAGTATCACAGATACCGAGTTTACGACCTAAATCGACGCCGGCGAAACCTACTAACCAAGCTAGTGTTAAGAAACCAGTTAACTCAAGAATATTTACTAGAAAACCTATTAATGGGCAATCAACGTAATTTAGTGAAGAGACAAGAACGATATCCCTTGATCCCTTGCTTGAATTTGACCAAAACAATACAAAAATAAACTGGGAAATGTAACTCTAACAATTGATTGATATATGGTCAATTAAAAACATTGGCATGATTATTATGTCTTTGAAATTTTAAAACAATACAACGCAGTATTGATTACTGTTAAACTATGATTAGAAAAATTAGTTATTACAATGTCTTTAAATATGCAATGGGTCGGTTCTTAGTGTATTCGGTATTAGATTAATGTATGTTTGAATAATTGAACCCGCAATATTTATTTAACATTGAGTGAAACCAAATTAGCGTTTAATTACGTACTAATTTGTATATTTGTTGCATTTACTCATATAGGATTTAATTTACGTTATACGACCATCCCGTTCGGTAATTTTGTATTAAATATACAAACATATAAAGACAAATCATTATGTTTTTTAATGTGTTTAAATATATTATATAATATACTTGATGTATTGTAAGTGAAATTTATATTTACATATTTGAATAAAGTGTCATCTGGAGCAATATAAATATATTACTATGAAAGTGGATCGAAATTTCATACTATATCTGTTGTACATTATGTCACAAAATTGTTATAAAAATGAAATCAGACCGTCATAAATTGATCAATCAATAGCATAACTCATACTTTCTCATTACTATTCACATTATATTATTACTATACAATTTGTGGTCAAGAAATATGCAATTTTCTTGCTGGAAATTATATCTATGGTGAAAATATAATTGGAATAATCATTTGTAAATATTTCTCATGGTTAAATCTATATGATAAGTTTTACCGTACTACGATTTGTATATTTTTTCATATAATTATTAATATAAACGAAATGGCCGCCGCTCTTCTGAGTGAAAATGCAGGCATTGATGTAATGTCGTAATTTTTCACGTCTAGTCAGTGAAACGAGTGCGCGGGAAGACATAGGATTGTAATTTTTAAACGGAAACGTGTAAGCGACACCAGTGCATTGTACCGTAGGTTTATATTAGCTGGCTTCCTCTAGTTATTGCTCACAGCTTTGTTTAAATTTTCATTATCCGACATGCGACGGTGAGTGGAAGGTGCCGAAATATCTTTCGTGTTTTCAGGAGATTGTATATGATTTTGAATAGGTATAAGAATTACCAATATGGAAATATTTTAGCATAATATAATTGCTTTACATACAGTTTGTACGCCGACAAAAGTTTATAATTACATTACTGTAGTTAGCGACAGAAGTATTTTAATTAAATCATTGTTTTTAATAGTATATAACCAAGCGTTATTTCCCACTGTAGTGAATCCGCCATGATTTTCAATAAGCCAGTTTATGTTAAATTAATACATACTTAATTAGTGATAACTAAATGGTAATAAATGATATTTACCGAATTCATATGTTTTTATTTTAATTAATATACAATTAAATATATTCCCATATTGTAATACCATTGACTGTGTATATGTACTTACATAACTCGAACGAATTTATTGTTCTATAATTTTACGCACAACATTGCATAACACAATTTATTTTTTAGAGTATTATACATATTATTCATGTTTCGAATGGATAGAGTTTCTAATGGATAAAAAAGTGGAGGACTCTCCATCCATCAGAAACTATACGCTAATGGTAAGACAAATTGATTGAGGATGAAATATCGCCCCTTGTAGCTTCTCTACCAGGAATTGACCACTATGATTTACCAGAGTACATTACATAGTGCGTTGCCAGAAATAGTATAACAGTAACCATGTCAGGTTGACTTCCACGCGGTGTCGCCTTGAGAACATCGTGGTTAATTCATAGTGAATTTGCCACGACGCTGACCTGACTTCATGCTCATCCTCCACTGGTGCTCCGCTTGCATATGCGCAAACGGGTGCACAATTTTATAATCATCTAAGAGTAAAATCCAAACATATTTATTTAAAGCATTACAAATCAAATGTTATTAACTGTAGACATTAAAGCTAGTGCGTTAAGAAATGAGTCTATAACCGAATATTACGGAAAATTGAATTGAAAGATTACAATTAGAAAATTTTAAATTAAGGCAATGCAAGATTGAAACTATTTAGTACTGTTAATTTAATATATGTATACGTTATTGTTGTTCTACAAAATTATTTAAAGGAAATAAAAGAAATCTAAATGCCTAATCTCCTGTCCTATTCCAACGGGGATCGGAATTACAAAACTTTCACGGATATAAACTAGCTGTGCCGGCGTCTTCATCCGCATAAAATTAGCCTGTTATTCTGATGTAATGTTGATGTGTGTTAGTATAAGCTCTATTACTACAAAGTTTTATCAAAATCAGTTCGGTAGTTTTTGCGTGAGAGTAACAAATATCCATCCATCCATACTCACAAACTTTCTCGTTTATAATATTAGCAAGAGGGGGAAGGGGATTGTTTGTAATGTGGACTATTGACCCCATTGCTAGCAATGTACTGTCAGGTTGACCTCCACGCGATTCCCCCTGGAGAACATCCTGATAAATTCCCTGTGAATTTGTTACAATGGGCAAACTGAGCTGACTTCATGCTCATCCTATCATACTCCACTGGTGCCCACCAGCGTAAACCGTTAGCGCAGGCGGGTGCTTACTGTTATGTTGTTCTTACTTATTCACTTAAACCATTGTTATTTATTTAATTATACTTTATTGAGTAGCCATTACAATCAGTTTCCATTCTTACTACTAATGACATCTATCACTAGTGTTGTATCAACAATCAATAATCACGCTAGTGATGTACTCTTACAACATCCCCCTTTCTTTTACAAAACAAAACTTTAATAATATATAAAATCTTCAGATACAGGTTTTCTTATTAATCTACCAGAACGAGAACAATTTTCATTTAAATTATTATGATTAGTTATATTACTACTTTCATCATCAATTACATTATTCTCATTATGATTCATTGATACATTATTTTCATTATACATTGAAACCTTTTCATTTTCCATATCATTATCATTTTTCACACTCACATCACTATAACTATCATTTACTTCAAATTTTCCACATTTATTTAAATCCTTCCTATTTCTTGTTATTATCCTACCATCCTCTCTTTTTACAATGTAAGATCTTGGTCCTTTACCTTTCCCTATCACTATTCCTCTTTTATACCAACCTGCAGAATTTTCATTTTTAATCTTTACATAATCATTTTCATTTAATATATTTAATTTTCTACTTCTCCTATCCTGATACATTTTCTGTTTATACTGTCTTTCCCTCAATTCCTTAGTAAAATCTTTCTTAACAAAATTATCATTATGTATGTATGGTAATATATTCCTAATACTTCTATTGAATAACATTTCTGCTGGAGTTGTACCATCTTGAGATACAGGTGTATTCCTATACAATAACAAACCTAAATGTATATCTTTTTTCTCATAAATTAATTTTTTTAATATGTTTTTAATAGTTTGTATATATCTTTCAGCAAGACCATTTCCTTGGTGATGTTTTGGGCTTATGATCTTGTGATCAAAATTCCATTTTTTACTAAATATTTTAAAGTCTTCACTTGTAAACTGACTACCTGAATCAGAATATACTATATTAGGTATCCCATATCTAGAAAATATTTCTTTAATACCCACAATTACACTTTCTGTTGATAAATTTGATAATTGCTGAATCTCAACAAATTTACTATATGTATCTACTAAAAGCAAATAAGGTTTATTATAAAGAAAAAATATATCAGTGGCTACAATCTGCCATGGATTGTTAGGTATCTCTTTACATATCATTGGTTCTATACAATTTCTATTTTGAAAAGTTTTACATGTATCACAATTTTGAATAAGATCTTCAATTTCTTTTCCCATATTCGGCCAAAATACTGACTTACGAGCTATTGCCTTACATTTTTCCATTCCTAAATGTGAATAATGAATTTTTTCAAGAACTTCCTGTTTCATTGTCTTAGGTATTACAATTTGCGTACCCTTAAATACTAAACCATCACATTCACTTAACTCATCCTTATAAGTATTATAAATTTTTGCATCACTATCAATATTACATTTATTATGAGGCCAACCCTCTCTTATATATTTCCTAACACAATTAAGTACTCTGTCCTTATCTGTTTCTTCAACTAACTTTTTCATTTTCTCATCTGTAATCCTTTTACTTTCTACTATCATAGCAACATGTGCTTTTATATCTGAATCTATCATATCATTACTATTTTCTTCCTTAATGTAGGATCTACTCAATTGATCAGCTAAAAATAATTCCTTACCCGGTTTGTATTGAACTTCAAAATCATATGGTTGTAATGCCATTTTTATTCTTTGTAATCGAGCAGGACATTTATTTAACGGTTTTGAAAAAATAGAAACTAAAGGTTTATGGTCAGATTCTACCACAAATTGTTGCCCAAATAAATACTGATGAAATTTCTTACAACCATTTAAAATAGCAAGACTTTCTTTCTCAATTTGACTATATGCCTTTTCAGTTTCTGTCATAGACCTTGAACTATATCCTATTGGTTTTCTATCCTGTAAGATAACTGCACCTAAACCATCTTTAGAAGCATCCACACTTAAAACAATCTTTTTATTAATATCAAAATAAGACAATATTGGTGGTTCAACTAACATTTTTTTCAATTTATCATATGCAGTTTGCTGATCAACAGACCATATAAATGGAACTTGTTTTTTAATTAATTTACGCAATGGAGCTGTTAATTCTGACATATTCGGAATGAATCTTGAAACATAATTGATTACACCTAAAAATCTTAATAATTCTGTTTGTGATTTTGGCACTTCCATTTCTTCTATTGCCTTAACTCTATCCTTATCTACCTTTATACCTTTTTCTGTAAAAATATGTCCTAAATATTTCACATGAGACTTTTTAAAATTACATTTATTAATATTAAATTTAATACCAAATTCCTGAGCTCTCTTAAGTACTTTTTCAAAAATTTGATCATGCTCTTTTTCT